CTACACATATCACACATTCTTAGAAGCTCCTCCTTTAAGTAGGTGCAGTGTTTGCCTATCCCTGTAATACACTTCCTGTGAATAATGCTCTTTCTGTTATAGTTATAAAACCTGCATTACTAATCCTTACACAGGTTGAATTCCTGCTCTCAAGAGCACGCACAAAGCAGCCTTTTAACACCACCAACATCATCATGCATGAGCCTTAGAGCGGGCAACCTCTTACTTGCAATGGGAATGGCAAATTTGGAGTATTTGGAGAATCAGAATAGTTGCGTACTGTGTCTCTGGGAAGAAGGAAGCAGTGGCTTTTTTTCCCCCCCAAGAAGGAAAACTCTTTTCATTTTTTAAAAAAGTGGTTAGATATAATAAAGAAAAATGCCTGTTTGGTTCATTTTAGTTCAGTTTTGTTTATTAAAAGCACATGAAAACAGGAAATGTTAGCTGTGGCCGGCATGAATCACTCTTAACCCGTGAACTCGGCTAATTAGAGAAAAATGTATCGTATGCAGCTTCCAAAGTACAGTAAACAATATTAAGGAGGAAGGGCTTTTTCCCTCCCTCTCTCTGCTGAGGCCAAAGTCCCAAAGTTATTGCACAACAATGCACATCTTTTGCAACTCTGTAAAAATAGAAAACACGAGGAGTTGAAATTGGAAAAAGGATCCAATTGAATAATTAGAAGAGTAAGAATAATTATTAAGGTGCCTAAGAAAAGTAACAATTACCTATGTCCCAAGGGGTGACCTTGTTTGGTTATATGTTAAGTCTGTGCTGTTTTCCAATGTTTTTGATGTGGTGTGTTTAGCAGTGGTCACATATCTGGGCCTTCTACAACTGGGCTGCTACAAACATCTGCATGAGTACTAGATCCCAGCAAAGATATAGGATGCAAGCTTTAGCCTGTTGCTGCCATCCATTGTTCATCTGGAGATTTGGCGGTGGAGTGTGTGTGCTTAAAGAAAAAATATATATAGCCCCAGAGGTTGGGATCAGGGTAATAGCAGAAGTGTAACCTTGTTTCCTACAGAATCTTTCTAGCAGGAACCTAACCAGAAAGTTGTGGTGTTGTGGTGTTGTGGCCCAGCAGGAGCCATTGGAGCTGCCACCAGATTCCGACAGCGAGGGGCCCTATGAGTCGGCCCTGGAGGATGTGGAGGACCCTGGATAGGGTTCCGACTCCGAGCAGGGCGCAAAGAGGCTGGTTGGCTACCAGGAGGCGCCCGAGCCTTGGACCAGTGGGAAGGAGACAAGGGAGAGTGATCCAGAAACCAACAGTGAGTTGTTCCGGGATGCACGCCGTCGAAGAGCTACTCGGAGTCAAGAACAACTCCATAATTACAGGAGGTAATTACGCTCAACTGATGGTCATTAGGCTCCTCTCCAGACTATAAGAGAGACTACTTGTGCCACGCCCTTCTTGCAGAAGTCAACGCTTGGACTA